ATTGGACAGTGGACTGTGCCGTTTGACAGGGGGCGGGGGGGAGGGGCGGGCAGTTGAATGCGTTCAGTTGATAGTGGCAGTTGGTGGCATCAGTTGAGAGTGCCTGCTGCTGCTGCTGGCACTGTAATCTGAGAGCAACGATTGACGGGGGCTAGTTGCATTTCAGTTGACAGGGTCAGTTGACAGTGTCGATTGACAGTGCCAGCTTACACAGATTAGTGTGTGTGTGTGTGTGTGTGTGTGTGTGTGTGTGTGTGTGTGTGTGTGTGTGTGTGTGTGTGTGTGTGTGTGTGTGTGTTCGTGATTATGTGTGTTCGTGATTGTGTGTAAACGTGCTTGTGCGTGCGTGCTTGTGTGTGGCGCGTTGCATGTGCCGTGCGTGCGTGCTTGTGTGTGTGGTGTGTGTGTGTGCGTGCGTGAATGTACAGCCACAAAAGATTCTAACAAAAGTTCCCAAACTTGAGCATGCAAGAGCGCTAAGGAGCAGCGTGCTGTGGCCGCCCCTCCGGCCGCCGCCCGCCCTGGGTGTGTGGTGACTGATGCCCGCCACAGACAACCCGTCCAGACGCGGGAGCGATTGCCTTATTCCTCGCCTCCTCCTTGTGCTCTCCCTGCCCGCCGTGTAAGGGGAAAAAAATGAACAGCGGACCACGACGCATCTGCATTCACAGCACCTCGGGCATTCTGGATTCATGAGACTGTGAGGGTTCGCGCGGTGAGCTTGCGGGTATGATCCATGGATATTCTTTTTGTGTTTATCCACAGTGGGAAATATATGGAATTATATATGATGACCATCATAGGATAATGAGCGCAAGTTTGACAAGCGTGAAAGAGACTAATTGTTGCATTTCGGGAACAGTTCAAGTGGTGGAGGTTGTTAAGACGGAAACTACAAAAGGCCCTTAGCCACAATTCCTTAACAACTCATTACATATATCTGAAGTACCGAGGAATTTTGTCCACGATTCCTCTTAAATCACAAATTAAACAATCAACACCCAGAGATCTGATGTACTAACAGACAGACACTGAATTTTGATTCCGGGACAACAGGGCCTGAAGTGTGAGGTCCACCGCCTCCTCCTCCACGCCACCACCCGCGCCTCATAGCCTGCGCCTCTCCACCCGCGCCTCTCCACCCGCGCCTCTCCACCCGCGCCTCTCCACCCGCGCCTCTCCACCCGCGCCTCTCCACCCGCGCCTCTCCACCCGCGCCTCTCCACCCGCGCCTCTCCACCCGCGCCTCTCCACCCGCGCCTCACCACCCGCGCCTCACCACCCGCGCCTCACCACCCGCGCCTCACCACCCGCGCCTCACCACCCGCGCCTCACCACCCGCGCCTCACCACCCGCGCCTCACCACCCGCGCCTCACCACCCGCGCCTCACAACTCACGGCTCAACCGCACATTATCCATGGGTGGACAGACCCATTGGATTAATTTAGTGGACCAAGGCGGCAGGATAATGAGCGGCCATAACACATCTTGGCCTGACACACGCTGTCCGCTGGACCATACTCCCACTCCTACCCCCCTAACCCCACCCCCCCCCCTTATAAACTAACGACCCTTCAACTACCACTTTCACCATCATGCCCTCTGACTCATACTTCTTGTTACCCCCCTCAGACTTTTATCATGGATACATGATCAGCTATGACCTAACACACTAGCAATGACCTAACACACTAGCAATGACCTAACACCTTAACTATGACATAACACCTTAACTATGACTTAACACATTAGCTATCACCTAACACACTTTGCAGGTGTTGCTCCGGAATGACTTCCATGTATATATTGGCAGCGTCAGGATTTCCAGAAATCAGCAGATCTCTAGGAAATCTACTGATGCTTGCAGACATGTAGTCATAGCTGCTTCGTGGTAAACAAGACCACACAGCCAGAAGGAATTATTGCTTCACTATTCGTTAAATCTCTATTCACCAACGACCCAGTCGACACCACCAAAGAAATAATACAATAATTTCTATGGTGGTTTCTATGAGGGGGTAAACTGCTCCCTCAGATACAGAGCCAGTATTCTCAAAGCTTATATTCATCGAGCTCTTACCCACCGCTCTGAGTCGAGCAAGGTGAGTAAGGTGTTTGAAAGGATAACACAAGTGCTGGTGAACAATAGCTATAGTAACCACAAGATAAACACATGATAAGGCGACACTTGGACTGGCGGTACAACCCTGAACTAAGATGAGAAACTACAACACCTACAATAATCATATTAAAAATCCACCATGGACAGTGACTATAAAAATGAAAGAAAAATGAAAGAAATTATCCATAAAGGAGTATAAAGCAAAACTCCTAACCAAAACATAGACATCATCATATACTATACAACAGAGACGACCACTGATCTCCTCATTAAAAACAGCCTAAAGCAAACCCTTTACAACAAACGAATGTGCTATACATGTTCACCTGCCCCCCCCCCACGAAGGATGTAACCTCCATTCTAAGTACATTAATTATGACGTCGACCAAGCTGACGAGGCGTTTGACCTGTCATCTTTAATCAGGTGCCCCAAAAATTCCCCATGAGAGAAGCCCATAACATAACGCTAACAAGAGTAATGGTAAACCAAAATACAGGCATATTTGACAAAACCCAGGATGTAAAATGCGGCGGCGGGACATGCACCTCACGACACTAGAAGACTGAGGAGTAAGGGGAGACATGATCACTACCTACAAAAATCTCAGAGGAATTGACAGGATAGATAAAGACAAACTGTTTAACAAGGATGGTACGCGAACAAGGGGACACAAGTGGAAACCGAGTACTCAAATGAGCCACAGGGACGTTAGAAAGAACTTTTTCAGTGTCAGAGTAGTTAATAGGTGGAATGCATTAGGCAGTGATGTGATGGAGGCTGACTCCATACACAGTTTCAAATTTAGATTTGATAGAGCCTAGTAGGCTCAGGAATCTGTACACCAGTTGATTGACGGTTGAGAGGCAGGACCAAAGAGTCCGAGCTCAACCTCCGCAAGGACAACTAGGCGAGTACACACACACAGCGAGTGAGAGAGAGTAGACACACACATGGAGCGAGTGAGAAAGAGTTGAGACTCACGGGGTTAGAGTAGGAGTAGAGTAGGCTAGACAAAACCATTCAGGAGTGTCTTGCTACTGTTCCTTCTCAGAGTGCCAATATCTTCCAGGATTACGATAATACTATACCTTACGAGAGTGAAACAAAACAAAATCTGTCGTGCGTACGACACTACAAGCCTTTCCTGGAGCGCCATAATACGATACCCTCCAAGAGTGCAATAATGCAATACCCTCCAAGAGCACGATAATACAATACCTTTCAAAATGCCATAATACTGAACCATCATATTAATATTGCAGTCACTGCTGTCATAGGCAGTCACTGCTGTCATAGGCAGTCACTGCTGTCATAGACCGTGACTGCTGTGGTACGCAGTGACTATTGTGGGATGCAGTCACTGCAGAGGTAGTACAGTCAGTGCTGTAGTTCGCTGTAATGCTGTGGAACACTGCTGTGTTACGCATTCACTGCTTTGCTACGCAGTCACAGTTGGGGCACGTAGTCACTGTTGGGATCCGCAGTCACTGTTGTGGTAGGGAATCAGTACTGTGATACTACTTCCTAGCTGTAGTACCCAGTTTCAAAATATTGCCATGGATACTAAAAGAGGCAGCTGAAGGATTGTGCAGCCCACTTGTCATACTATTTTAATTCCTCTCTAGAAATTAGAGAACTTCTTGAAAACTGGAAAATGGCTAATGTGGTGCCAGTCTACAAGACAGGGGGAAGACAGAACCCGTTGAGCTACAGACCCGTATCACTAACAAGTATCCCCCTGCAAGTTGCTAGAGAGAATGATCCGAAACAGGCTAGTTGAACATTTAGATCACATCAAATGAACAAATCTACAAAGGCCGTGACGAGGATTCGAACCTGCGTCCGAGAGCATCCCAGACGCTGCCTTAATCGAGTGAGCTACGACATGGTCAAAAGAAGTTGAAACCGAAGTTCTACTGAACTTACTGGATCCTGCAGCCTCTCCGAGGCACAAACCAGGGTTTTACACAACTCCCCCCATGCACTTGAGCAATGTCAATAGGCCGTTCTCCCTCTTCGCCCTTACTTCATTACACACATTACGGAGGTTCGAATCCTCGTCACGGCCTTTGCTGATTTGTTCATTTGATGCATCACGCAATTATGATTTCTGTGTGTGTAGATCACATCAGTTTTGTCTCGGCGCACAAGCATGGTTCTAGTATAGGGAAATCTTGCTTGACAAACTTGCTGGAGTTCTACAACAAGATGACAGAAATCAAACAAGAGAGGGAGAGGGATGGGCAAACAGCATCTTCCATGACTGTCAGAAGGCATTTGATACAGTCCTACATGAAAGACTACTATAAAAGCAGATTGGCATCTCTAGAAGAGTTCTAAGGTGGGTCAGAGAGTATCTCTCAGAGAAGGAAGCAAAGGGTTATAGTGAGAGCAGAGACGGAGTGGAGGGAGGTTACCAGTGGAGTACTACAAGGGTCAGTTCTAGGGCTTATCCTATTTCTAATACATGTCAATGACCTGACAGAGGAAATTGGCTCCTTCATATCAATATTTGCAAACGATGCAAAACTAATGAGACGAGACAGGTCAGAGTTAGATTGCGATACATTGTCTGAGGATTTAAACACATTCCAGAAGCGGTCCGAATAAATCGCTGCTAGAATTTACCCAAGCCAAATGTAATGTTATGATGAGTGGAACAAGAGTGCGAAGACCAGTAAAGCAGTATAGGATGAAGTGAAGACAACTTCTTCAATTATAAAAGGAGAAAGACCAGTGAGTGGACATAACCCAAGTCTGTTGCCAGAAGTCCCCATTGGCAGAATAACAACAGCTGCGTATGAATACTGGCCAACATCCGCGTACTCTTCAAAATTTGGACAAAAGGAAATTTCCGGGCCCTAAATACAGCGAAGATGACACACAATCTTGAAAAGGCGTCCCCATCATCGAAAAAGGACAAGGTTAGTCTAGAAAAGGCATCAAGGTATGCAACGAGACTCGTTCCGGAGCTGAGGGGATTGAGCTATGAGAAAAGACGGAGAGAACTGGACCTTACTACACTGCAGGAAAGGAGAGATAGCAGGGACATAACAACATATATGAGCCCGAGGGAGATGGACAAAGTAGGCTAAGAAGCATTGTTCAAAGCTGGGAACAGCAGAACACGGGGTCACAGATGAACACCAGAGACGCATATGAGTCACAGGGACGTCAGTTGAACTTTTTCAGTGTCAGAGCTGTCAGTAAGTGGAACAAGTTAGCTGTACAAGTCGTCGAAGATAATTCGATTCAAAATTATAAGTGTAAACATGATAAAAGCATGAGAAATGAGTCACTGCATTAACCTAAGAACGTTTGGAAGGTGGGGCTAGAAGCCTATCTCGACCCTGCAAGCACATTTAAGTGAGTATATCTAGGCGAGTCAATCTAGGTGAGTACATCTAGGTGAGTATTGCTGCGGTCCACTCATTCACTGCTGTGCCCCTCCCATTCACTGCTGTGCCCCTCTCATTCACTGCTGTGCCCCCATTCACTGCTGTGCCCCCCCATTCACTGCTGTGCCCCCCATTCACTGCTGTGCCACCCATTCACTGCTGTGCCACCCATTCACTGCTGTGCCACCCATTCACTGCTATGGCACTCATTCACAATTGAGACACTCATTCACTGCTGGAGGCTCTCAGCACTCATTACGATGAGAGTTCTCCTTCACCAAGAATGTGTTCAGGGTACAATACTGAACTGCGTCTGGTCCTCACTCTAAAAGTCAGGTCGAAGGAAGTCCACCTTGTTCTGTCTCGTGGTTGACCTCTGAGTCGACACACTTCTTCATCGTGTATAAACAGGAAAAGAGAAACATACCCCTCGAGGTATTGTATTATCGCACTCCTGGGGAGGTATGGTATTATCGCAATCCCGGGGAGGTACTGTTTTATCGCACTCCCGGGGAGGTATTGTATTATCGCACTCCCGGGGAGGTATTGTATTATCGCACTCCTGGGGAGGTATTGTATTATCGCACTCCTGGGAAGGTATTGTATTATCGCACTCCTGGGAAGGTATTGTATTATCGCACTCCTGGGAAGGTATTGTATTATCGCACTCCTGGGGAGGTACTGTATTATCGCACTCCTGGGAAGGTATTGTATTATCGCACTCCTGGGGAGGTATTGTATTATCGCACTCCTGGTAGGTATTGTATTATCGCACTCCTGGGGAGGTATTGTATTATCGCACTCCTGGGGAGGTATTGTATTATCGCACTCCCGGGGAGGTATTGTATTATCGCACTCCCGGGGAGGTATTGTATTATCGCACTCCTGGGGAGGTATTGTATTATCGCACTCCAGGGAAGGTATTGTATTATCGCACTCCGGGGAGGTATTGTATTATCGCACTCCCGGGGAGGTATTGTATTATCGCACTCCCGGGGAGGTATTGTATTATCGCACTCCCGGGGAGGTATTGTATTGTCGCACTCCTGGGGAGGTATTGTATTATCGCACTCCCGGGGAGGTATTGTATTATCGCACTCCTGGGAGGTATTGTATTATCGCACTCCCGGGGAGGTATTGTATTATCGCACTCCCGGGGAGGTATTGTATTATCGCACTCAAGGAAAGCCATCATCTCCGACCTAACGTCACAGTACTTCAAATAAATTACAAAATACACCGCAAGTGTATTCTGTAACGCTCAATTTAACTTTCACAACTATTACCGACTGCGAAAGATTAAATATATTCTATACTGGATCATTAAAAAAAAAATACAGTATATAGAACATATTGTATCCCATACAATATATAGTATAACCTTTTTTTCTTGAAATTGATTTACGAATGCACTGAATTTTTCCCAGCAGAATGCCAAAGAGAATCGAAAGGAGTAATTAGGAGAGTATATCTAGGCGAATCAATCTAGGTGAGTACATCTAGGTGAGTATTGTTGCGGTCCACTCATTCACTGCTGTGCCCCCATTCACTGCTGTGCAACCCCATTCACTGCTGTGCAACCCCATTCACTGCTGTGCAACCCCATTCACTGCTGTGCAACCCCATTCACTGCTGTGCAACCCCATTCACTGCTGTGCAACCCCATTCACTGCTGTGCAACCCCATTCACTGCTGTGCCCCCCATTCACCGCTGTGCAACCCCAGTCACAATGCTGTGGGGGCACATTCACTGCTGTGCAACCTCATTCACAGCTGTGCAACCCCATTCACTTCTGTGCAACCCTATTAATTACTGTGCAACCCCATTCACTGCTGTGCCCCCCATTCACCGCTGTGCAGTGAATGGGTGGCACTTCCATGCCTTCTTCTCCCTCTCCCTTCTTCGTATCTATTAATTACAAATAACAATAAAGAAAAGAAAAAGGCAGGATAAATATACAGGTCCCCCCCCTCACCCTCTTCTGCCATTTCAATAAAAAAAAAATATCTATTCTTTTTAACAATGCCTGAACGTTTCTGAGGACGGAATAGGCAGCACGTGCCGACCTGCTCGAGGGGGGGGGGGGGGGGGAGCCGGACCCCGCCTCTTGCTCGGAGGGGGGGGGGGGGGTCGGAGGGAGCCGGACCCCGCCTCTTGCTCGGAGGGAGAGGGGGGGGGGGAGCCGGACCCGCTCTTGCTCGGAGGGCGGGGGGGGGGGGGGGGAGCCGGACCCCGCCTCTTGCTCGGAGGGAGGGGGGTGTGTGGAGCCGGACCCCGCCTCTTGCTCGGAGGGAGGGGGGGGGGTTAGCCGGACCCCGCCTCTTGCTCGGAGGGAGGGAGGGGGGGGGCCTCTTGCTGGAGCCGGAGCCGACCCGCCTCTTGCTCGGAGGGAGGGGGGGGGTGTGGAGCCGGACCCCGCCTCTTGCTCGGAGGAGGGGGGGGGGGTTGGAGCCGGACCCCGCCTCTTGCTCGGAGGGAGGGGGGGGGGTGGAGCCGGACCCCGCCTCTTGCTCGGAGGGGGGGGTGGAGGGGGGGGGGTGGAGCCGGGACCCCGCCTCTTGCTCGGAGGGAGGGGGGGGAGCCGGACCCCGCCTCTTGCTCGGGGAGGGGGGGGTGGGAGCCGGACCCCGCCTCTTGCTCGGAGGGATGGGGGGGGTGTGGAGCCGGACCCCGCCTCTTGCTCGGAGGGAGGGGGGGGGGGTGGAGCCGGACCCCGCCTCTTGCTCGGAGGGGGGGTGGGTGGAGCCAGACCCCGCCTCCTGCTCGGAGGGGGGGGGGGGGGTGGAGCCGGACCCCGCCTCTTGCTCGGAGGGAGGGGGGGGGTGGAGCCGGACCCCGCCTCTTGCTCGGAGGGAGGGGGGGGGTGTGGAGCCGGAGCCCCGCCTCTTGCTCGGAGGGAGGGGGGGGGGGTGGAGCCGGACCCCGCCTCTTGCTCGGATGGAGGGGGGGGGGTTTGGAGCCGGACCCCCGCCTCTTGCTAGGAGGGAGGGAGGGGGGTGTGGAGCTGGACCACCGCCTCTTGCTCGGAGGGAGGGGGGGGTGGAGACGGACCCCGCCTCTTGCTCGGAGGGAGGGGGGGGGGGAGCCGGACCCCGCCTCTTGCTCGGAGGGAGGGGGGGGGGGGGGGGTGGAGCCGGACCCCGCCTCTTGCTCGGACCCCGGGGGGGGGGGGGGGGGGTGGAGCCGGACCCCGCCTCTTGCTCGGAGGGAGGGGGGGGGGGTTGGAGCCGGACCCCGCCTCTTGCTCGGAGGGAGGGGGGGGGGTGGTGCCGGACCCCGCCTCTTGCTCGGAGGGAGGGGGGGGTTGGAGCCGGACCCCGCCTCTGCTCGGAGGGAGGGGGGGGGTGGAGCCGGACCCCGCCTCTTGCTCGGAGGGAGGGAGTGGAGCCGACCCCGCCTCCTGCTCAACAGGGAGGGGGGGTGTGGGCTGGACCCCGCCTCTTGCTCGGAGGGAGGGGGGGGGGGTGGAGGGAGGGGGGGGGGTGGAGCCGGACCCCGCCTCTTGCTCGGAGGGAGGGGGGGGGGTTGGAGCCGGACCCCGCCTCTTGCTCGGAGGGAGGGGGGGGGGGGGTGGAGCCGGACCCCGCCTCTTGCTCGGAGGGAGGGGGGGGGGGGGTGGAGCCGGACCCCGCCTCTTGCTCGGAGGGGAGGGGGGGTGGAGACCGGACCCCGCCTCTTGCTCGGAGGGAGGGGGGGGGTGGAGCCGGACCCCGCCTCTCTGCTCGGAGGGGAGGGGGGGGGGTGGAGCCGGACCCCGCTTCTTGCTCGGAGGGGGGGGGGGGTGGAGCCGGACCCCGCCTCTTGCTCGGAGGGAGGGGGGGGGTTGGAGCCGGACCCCGCCTCTTGCTCGGAGGGAGGGGGGGGGGGTGGAGCCGGACCCCGCCTCTTGCTCGGACGGGGGGGAGGGGGGTGGAGCCGGACCCCGCCTCTTGCTCGGAGGGAGGGGGGGGGTGGTGCCGGACCCCGCCTCTTGCTCGGAGGGAGGGGGGGGGGTGGAGCCGGACCCCGCCTCTTGCTCGGAGGGAGGGGGGGGGTGGAGCCGGACCCCGCCTCTTGCTCGGAGGGAGGGGGGGGGTTGGAGCCGGACCCCGCCTCTTGCTCGGAGGGGGGGGGGGGTGGAGCCGGACCCCGCCTCTTGCTCGGAGGGAGGGGGGGGTGGTGCCGGACCCCGCCTCTTGCTCGGAGGGAGGGGGGGGGTGGAGCCGGACCCCGCCTCTTGCTCGGAGGGAGGGGGGGGGGGTTGGAGCCGGACCCCGCCTCTTGCTCGGAGGAGGGGGGTGGCCCGGACCCCGCCTCCTGCTCAAAGGAGGGGGTGTGGTGCCGGACCCCGCCTCTTGCTCGGAGGGAGGGGGGGGGGGTGGAGCCGGACCCCGCCTCTTGCTCGGAGGGAGGGAGGGGGGGGTTGGAGCCGGACCCCGCCTCTTGCTCGGAGGGAGGGGGGGGGGGGTTGGAGCCGGACCCCGCCTCTTGCTCGGAGGAGAGGGGGGGTGGTGCCGGACCCCGCCTCTTGCTCGGAGGGAGGGGGGGGGGTGGAGCTGGACCCCGCCTCTTGCTCGGAGGGAGGGGGGGGGGTGGAGCCGGACCCCGCCTCTTGCTCGGAGGGGGGGGGGGGGTGGAGCCGGACCCCGCCTCTTGCTCGGAGGGAGGGGGGGTTGGAGCCGGACCCCGCCTCTTGCTCGGAGGGATGGGGGGGGGGGGGGTCGGAGGAGGGGGGTGGCCGGACCCCGCCTCTTGCTCGGAGGGAGGGGGGGTGTGTGGAGCCGGACCCCGCCTCTTGCTCGGAGGGAGGGGGGGGGGGTGGAGCCGGACCCCCCGCTCTTGCTCGGAGGGGAGGGGTGGAGCCGGACCCCGCCTCTTGCTCAAAGGGAGGGGGGGGGGTGGAGCCGGACCCCGCCTCTTGCTCGGACCCCGCCTCCTGCTCGGAGGGGAGGGGGGGGTGGAGCCGGACCCCGCCTCTTGCTCGGAGGGAGGGGGGGTGGAGCCGGACCCCGCCCTTGCTCGGAGGGGGGGGGGTGTGAGCCGGACCCCGGAGGGAGGGGGGGGTGGTGCCGGACCCCGCCTCTTGCTCGGAGGGAGGGGGGGGGGTGGAGCCGGACCCCGCCTCCTGCTCGGAGGGAGCCGGACCCCGCCTCCTGCTCGAAGGGGGGGGGGGGGTTGGAGCCGGACCCCGCCTCTTGCTCGGAGGGAGGGGGGGGGTGGAGCCGGACCCCGCCTCTTGCTCGGAGGGAGGAAGGGGGGGTGGAGCCGGACCCCGCCTCTTGCTCGGAGGGATGGGGGGGGGTGCCGGGCCTCTTGCTCGGAGGGAGAAGGGGGGGGTGGAGCTGGACCCCGCCTCTTGCTCGGAGGGAGGGGGGGGTGGAGCCGGACCCCGCCTCTTGCTCGGAGGGGGGGGGGGTGGAGCCGGACCCCGCCTCTTGCTCGGATGGAGGGGGGGGGGGTGGAGCCGGACCCCGCCTCTTGCTCGGAGGGAGGGGGGGGTGGTGCCGGACCCCGCCTCTTGCTCGGAGGGAGGGGGGGGTGGAGCCGGACCCCGCCTCTTGCTAGGAGGGAGGGGGGGGTGGAGCCGGACCCCGCCTCTTGCTCGGAGCCGGACCCCGGAGGGGGGGGGGTGGTGCCGGACCCCGCCTCTTGCTCGGAGGAGGGGGGGGGGGTGGAGCCGGACCCCCCGCCTCTTGCTCGGAGGGGGGGGGGTGGAGCCGGACCCCGCCTCCTGCTCGGAGGGAGGGGGGGGTTGGAGCCGGACCCCGCCTCTTGCTCGGAGGGAGGGGGGGGGGGTGGAGCCGGACCCCGCCTCTTGCTCGGAGGGAGGGGGGGGTGGTGCCGGACCCCGCCTCTTGCTCGGAGGGAGGGGGGGGGTGGAGCCGGACCCCGCCTCTTGCTCGGAGGGGAGGGGGGGGGGTGGTGCCGGACCCCGCCTCTTGCTCGGAGGGAGGGGTTGGTTGGAGCCGGACCCCGCCTCCTGCTCGGAGGGAGGGGGGGTGGTGGAGCCGGACCCCGCCTCTTGCTCGGAGGGAGGGGGGGGTGGACCCCGCCTCTTGCCGGACCCCGCCTCTTGCTCGGAGGGAGGGGGGGTGCCGGACCCCGGCTCGTGGAGGGTGGGGGGGTTGGAGCCGGACCCCGCCTCTTGCTCGGAGGGAGGGGGGGGTGGTGCCGGACCCCGCCTCTTGCTCGGAGGGAGGGGGGGGTGGTTGCCGGACCCCGCCTCTTTGCTCGGAGGGAGGGGGGGGTGGTGCCGGACCCCGCCTCTTGCTCGGAGGGAGGGGGGGGGGTGGTGCCGGACCCCGCATCTTGCTCGGAGGGGGGGGGGGGGTGTGAGCCGGACCCCGCCTCTTGCTCGGGGGAGGGGGGTGGTGCCGGACCCCGCCTCTTGCTCGGAGGGAGGGGGGTGGTGCCGGACCCCCGCCTCTGCTCGGAGGAGGGGGGTGGTGCCGGACCCCGCCTCTTGCTCGGAGGGGGGGGGGGTGGAGCCGGACCCCGCCTCCTGCCGGGGGGGGGATGCTCCTGCTGAACGACGCCTGTACCCACACAGGATTGACGACGCCTGTACCCACACAGGATTGACGACGCCTGTACCCACACAGGATTGACGACGCCTGTACCCACACAGTATGAACGACGCCTGTACCCACACAGTATGAACGACGCCTGTACCCACACAGGATTGACGACGCCTGTACCCACACAGTATGAACGACGCCTGTACCCACACAGGATGAACGACGCCTGGACCCACACAGGATGAACGACGCCTGGACCCACACAGGATGAACGACGCCTTTACCCACACAGGATGAACGACGCCTGGACCCATACAGGATGGACGACGCCTGGACCCACACAGGATGGACGACGCCTGGACCCTCACAGGATGAACGACGCCTGGACCCATACAGGATGGACGACGCCTGGACCCACACAGGATGAACGACGCCTGGACCCATACAGGATGGACGACGCCTGTACCCACACAGGATGAACGACGCCGCCGCCCTGGCTCCAACGTCACACATTATAATAGACAATTAAGAGACTGAATTTTTCCTCAATCACCTCTTATAAAATATCTGATTACGAGAAATTAATCAGTTCTGATAGAACTAGTTAAATTAATATGGTTAATTCGAATTCATAAGTAGATAGAGCTGAGGGCGCTGAATAAATTCACAAAATACGAAAGATTCTCCTTTGCTCTGTACAAGGAAGGTCCAGGGGCCAGATTCACGAAACAGTTACGTGTGTACATTTTTCCTCAATCTTTGACGCCTTTGGTTACGTTTATTAAACAGTTTACAAGCATGAAAACTTCCCAATCAACTGTTGTTATTGTAATAAACATCGTCCTGGTTCTTCGGAGCTCATTATCTGTTTAGTAGTTGTAAACAAAGCCGCCAAAGATTGGGAAAAGATGTACAGGTTCGTAAGTGCTTGCGTAAGTGCTTCGTGAATCTGGACCCAGGTGGCCATTGGCCACTGACACGAGGCCTGGTCGCTGCCATAGAGGAATTACTCCAGTTCAGCTCCTGTTCTGATCTCCACGACTAAGAAATCTGGTCGTGGCCGCCTCACGCTACAGCTGTAGCCATAAGTGTCACTCTGGTTGTATCCTGTTGCATGGGTATTGTAGCCGTACGCTACAAGTACGGGTGGAACACATGAACACAGTTACGAGGCAACACAGCCCAAATGTCTCACGTTAAGAAGATAACCTTAATGATAATCTTACGTAATTAATAAATTTACATATAATTAATGTATATTACTTAATATATTAATTTATATTACTTAATATATGAATTAGTTTATATTACCGAATATATTAATTATTATGGGTATAAATTAATAGATATTAAACCTAATAGTATCGCGAGATCAATTGCATTTAATCCAATATAAATTCAACTCCACTCTAATGATGACTTTACAGGTAGGAGGAAGTGGAACCCATTCAAGTTCCATCCACCTGAAGTACGGTGGAAGACACACTCTTCTCCACCTGTTGAGACAACCCTATCTCTAACCCCCCAACCCCAACCCCTACCCCCCTAATCCCTCCCCCCCAAACCCCTAACCCCCCCCCCAGCTAAACCGCACAGAACCCACAGATTACTAACTATGATTTAGGTAGTCTAGTAATCCTGAATAAAATTAAACAAGTTCCATTTTAATATAAGATCTGAAGCAGAGTTCAACAATACGCTTGAGCGGTCCCAGACTTTGTAAAGGCCATTAAACTACCCCGAGACCCCGTGTGGCAGCCACATGAAATAATTTATGTAGAGGTCAAGGTTTTTAACACAAACTAAATTTTCCCACAAACATCATTAAGACCTGCAACAACATCAACAAGTTCAGCAACATCGGTAAGACCTGCAACAACATCAACAAGTTCAGCAACATCGGTAAGACCTGCAACATCATCAACAGAGACAACATTAAAAATACCAGTTTAAAAGATCAGCAACACAAACAAGACCATTAACAACATCAGCAACATCAACAAAGCAATCAACAACATCATCAACATCAACAGTCAACATCAACATCATCAACAAAACAATCATCACCATCAGTAACATCAACAAGCCCAGCCTCATCAATAACACCTGCAACATATATCAGTTATCAGCAAAAATCAACAGCATCAGCAACATCAACGACAAGGCCAGCAGCAACATCAACGACAAGGCCAGCAGCAACATCAACGACAAGGCCAGCAGCAACATCAACGACAAGGCCAGCAGCAACATCAACGACAAGGCCAGCAGCAACATCAACGACAAGGCCAGCAGCAACATCAACGACAAGGCCAGCAGCAACATCAACGACAAGGCCAGCAGCAACATCATCGACAAGGCCAGCAGCAACATCAACGACAAGGCCAGCAGCAACATCAACGACAAGGCCAGCAGCAACATCAACGACAAGGCCAGCAGCAACATCAACGACAAGGCCAGCAGCAACATCAACGACAAGGCCAGCAGCAACATCAACGACAAGGCCAGCAGCAACATGAGACCAACATCATCAGCAACTCGAACTAAATCATCAGCATCATCAAGGAGACTAGCAACACCAACTCATTATTACTTATGGCTCATATCGATGGCCCTTCCAAGGTCGAACTCCCTCTTCCAAGGTCGAACTCCCTCCCCCAAGGTCGAACTCCCTCCCCCAAGGTCGAACTCCCTCTCCCAAGGTCGAACTCCCTCTCCCAAGGTCGAACTCCCTCTCCCAAGGTCGAACTCCCTCTCCCAAGGTCGAACTCCCTCTCCCAAGGTCGAACTCCCTCCCCCAAGGTCGAACTCCCTCTCCCAAGGTCGAACTCCCTCTCCCAAGGTCGAACTCCCTCTCCCAAAGTCGAACTCCCTCTCCCAAGGTCGAACTCCCTCTCCCAAGGTCGAACTCCCCCCTTCCCCCAAGGTCGAACTTCTGACGTTCTGCAGGATGCAACCTTGCAACAGTGGTCTGTCTCCTGGGTATCTGCTGCTGGGCAAAGAGAGGCATAAGGTGAAAGGAAACAGGTACAACCATTTCTGTCTCTTCCATACAGTGATGGCAGTCTCGCCTCAAGCAGGTCGGCGTTCAATCCCCGACCCTCCAAGTGGCTGGGCATCACTCTTCCACCCCCCCCCCCCCCCGTCCAATCCCTAATCCTTATCCTGATCCCTTCCCAGTGCTATATAGCAGTAATGGCTTGGCGCTTTTCCCTAATAATTCCATTACCCCTCCCTCTGTCTCCAAAGCTGAATTTATAATTTATTATTTGTGTCTTGAACTTTCAATTGTCAAAGGCAAGCAAAAGTAAATTTAATTAAAGCGGGGAAAATATAGAGGAAATTATAATTTGAAAATCTAATAGACCTACAAATTCCTTTTAATGCAATGATCTAAAATTGGACAATAATATATTTATGAAGGAGAGAGAGAGAACCCTCTTGAATATCCACATAATACACCTGTTGATGTGGACTCTGTGAAAATAAAGTCTCCCTTTATAAGGAGATGGACTTGTAAATGAGTCAGTCCACAAGGAGCGTGACAAGGATTCGAACTTGCGTCCGGGAGCAACCTAGACGCTGCCTTAATCGGCTGAGCTATGACATGGACCATGTCGTAGCTCAGTCGATTAAGGCAGCTCCCGGACGCAGGTTCGAATCCTCGTCACGGCCCTTGTGGATTTCTTCATCTGATGCATCACGTTATTGTGATATCTGTGTGTCAGTGTTTCCCACAACACGTGTGCTTAGTGTCCCGTTCATATGATCTTGTGTTGCAACGGTGCCAATTTCACTCAGAGTTTGTATTCTTACGGGAATATAAGGTCTCAATAAACTCTTATAGTGTGAAAATACAGGGCCGAAATACCCCACAAATCACCACATTCCTCTGAACTAAAAATTAAACAAAAAAATATTAATATCAATGATTGCAATTAACGTACTGATCAATAATAATTGTGTTTCACTTTCCAGCGAAATATCGTAGTCTTTAACGTACGAGTTACAGTATAAAGGAGGTATAACGTATAGAGGAACTATATAACTACTTAACTATACAAGTCCTGAAATATATAAGAACTATATAAGTCGCGTCGCCGCTATCCAGCCTCTTGAGCTGCCCCAACATGCCGAATAAGGGGTACTAAAACACACGACCCCAACCCACCCACATAACCTAACACTCTACGAATACATAACGGGGGCCATTAGTGTTATGCTACTTTTCACAGTACCTCTTATTCTGTACGTTGGGGACCTAAACGTACAAAATGAGACGTATGGGCTGAGAGGTCTCGTTTCAACGACTACCGTACTCCAGCATCTCGTTATCTTGAGATCTTAAGGTTATCTTGAGATGATTTCGGGGCTTTAGTGTCACCGCGACCCGGTCCTCGACCAGGCCTCCTCCCCCAGGAAACACCCAGTGACAGCTGACTAACACCCAGGTACCTAATTTTACTGCTAGGTAACAGGGACATAGGGTGAAAGAAACTCTGCCCTTGTTTCTCGCCGGCGCCCGGGATCGAACCCGGGACCACAGGATCACAAATCTAGTGTTCTGTCCGCTCGGCCGACCGGCTCCCTTACAGTGACTTTACAGCGACCACCGTACTCCAGCGTCTCGTTATAGTGACTACCCTACTTCAGCGTCTCGTTATAGCGACCACCGTACTCCAGCGTCTCGTTATAGTGACTACCCTACTTCAGCGTCTCGTTATAGCGACCACCGTACTCCAGCGTCTCGTTATAGTGACTACCCTACTCCAGCGTCTCGTTACAGCGACCACCGTACTCCAGCGTCTCGTTATAGTGACTACCCTACTCCAGCGTCTCGTTATAGCGACCACCGTACTCCAGCGTCTCGTTATAGTGACTACCCTACTTCAGCGTCTCGTTATAGCGACCACCGTACTCCAGCGTCTCGTTATAGTGACTACCCTACTCCAGCGTCTCGTTACAGCGACCACCGTACTCCAGCGTCTCGTTATAGTGACTACCCTACTCCAGCGTCTCGTTATAGCGACCACCGTACTCCAGCGTCTCGTTATAGTGACTACCCTACTTCAGCGTCTCGTTATAGCGACCACCGTACTCCAGCGTCTCGTTATAGTGACTACCCTACTCCAGCGTCTCGTTACAGCGACCACCGTACTCCAGCGTCTCGTTATAGTGACTACCCTACTCCAGCGTCTCGTTATAGCGACCACCGTACTCCAGCGTCTCGTTATAGTGACTACCCTACTTCAGCGTCTCGTTATAGCGACCACCGTACTCCAGCGTCTCGTTATAGTGACTACCCTACTTCAGCGTCTCGTTATAGCGACCACCGTACTCCAGCGTCTCGTTATAGTGACTACCCTACTTCAGCGTCTCGTTATAGCGACCACCGTACTCCAGCGTCTCGTTATTATCCTGTTGTTCCTCTGCCCTCAGTAGCTGACATGTTGACGTACTTTATGAATGCTTCAACTTGGAGCATTTTTGAATTCATATTTTTGTAGATACCCTGCAAAACCCGCTATTGTAACCTAGGTTTTGTAAGAACCCTATGCAGTCTTCTATTGTATTCATGTTGTTGTAGGAACCCTACTAACCCACTACTGTATTCTATCTTTTGTAGGAACAATATGTAACCCACGACTGAAATCTACTTTTTGCAAGAACAATATAACTCGCTACTGTATTCTGCAACCCACTTTTTCTTGTATTAACTACATATGGCAAACTCACAATTGTATTCCAGTTCTAGTCTGATGTTCCAGATCCTCACTGGAACACGAGAGAGAGATTAGAAACTCGGTTAAGCTGTCCCTTTACTCCGATGTATTTCAAGATTTACTCTACTGTTCCTAAACCCAATTAAAATAGGATTATGACTATGACAAGGCACTCTTTTAAAATGCCTTGTTTAACAGGTAATATATTAAACTCCCGTCCTGCAGTCTTTGAAAGTAGTGGAAGCAGAAAGGCTTGTGTAAATGCTATTTACTTTGAATGAGTAATTAAGAGAATTACTTCGGAGTTGTAAATCTAATTACGCTAAACATGTATTATTTAAAGTATTATATGATTACATTTTATTATTTCATAACACGAGAGCATTATACCATTACATAATTGCGCTGAACATTTTTTGTTTAGTGGAAGAACACACCGTGTTCTTCCCCCTGAATGTTCTGCCTTCAGTCTCTCAAGATGGGGACTATGACTTCCTCTTCATTTACTGACTAATTTGCCTTCCTCTGCCAATATAATGGCACAATATAATGGCACTTAATTCCCAAAGGGGTGCCGGGCGGTGTATAGGCACTGTGCTATAGCTGCCTCAACACCTTCATCCTGGTGGCTTTCATGGGTGTGGTTGTCAACACCTGCCGGTTATTGTTGTGGTTGTCAACACCTGCCGGTTACTGTTGTGTTTGTCAACACCTGCCGGTTATTGTTGTGTTTGTCAACACCTGCCGGTTATTGTTGTGGTTGTCAACACCTGCCGGTTATTGTTGTGGTTGCCAACACCTGCCGGTTACTGTTGTGTTTGTCAACACCTGCCGGTTATTGTTGTGGTTGTCAACACCTGCCGGTTATTGTTGTGGTTGTCAACACCTGCCGGTTATTGTTGTGTTTGTCAACACCTGCCGGTTATTGTTGTGGTTGCCAACACCTGCCGGTTACTGTTGTGTTTGTCAACACCTGCCGGTTACTGTTGTGTTTGTCAACACCTGCCGGTTACTGTTGTGTTTGTCAACACCTGCCGGTTATTCAACATGTTACGTTCGTTAGTTTCGTTAAGATACGATTGGATAGCTCTTGTAACGTTCCGATCATTAGGTTAAACAATCTCTAACTTAAACAGTTAAGAGCTATAATCGCATTCGTTTTCGTTCAACTCGGGCTCTGGCTCTTTGGTCCCGCCTCTCAACCGTCAATCAACTGGTGTACAGGTTCCTGAGCCAACTGGGCTCTATCATATCTACACTTGGAACTGTGTATGGAGTCAGCCTCCACCACATCACTGCCTAATGCATTCCGTCACTGACTCTGGAAAAGTTCTTTCTATTATTTCTGTGGATATCTTGTGTGGTGGGGGGGGGGGAGGCTAAGTTTACATCATGTAATCATGAGGGTTTTGATGAGCATCATGACAATGATGAGGATGAACACGACAATGCGGCAATGGTTATTGCAATAATGATCATTGTGGTAATGAGAATGACGAAAATTATAATAATTATGATAATGAAAATGGCGATAGTGGTAAAAACAGTTGCTATAATTAATAATGAGAATGATAAAAATAATGATAAACATAATGAGAATGATAATAATTATAATAAAGATGATAGTGATAATGATAGTAATTATAATGAAGATAAAATAATCAGGATATCTCACAGTATTTAAATAACAAACTTCGGTATATATATCTGGCCCTCGTATAAAAGATATCAGTTACCCATAAAATTTGCACGAGACTCTGATTATCTTTATATATATATATATATATATATATATATATATATATATATATATATATATATATATATATATATATATATATATAAAGATAATCAGAGTCTCGTGCAAATTTTATGGGTAACATATCTTTTATACGAGGGCCAGATATCTACCCAGGGCTAGATGTCGTACCTAGTAGCCAGAACGCACTTCTCAGCCTACTATGCAAGGCCCGATTTGCCTAATAAGCGAAGTTTTCATAAATTAATATATTTTCTCTATTTTTTTCTTATGAAATGGTAAAGCTACCCATTTCATTATGTATGAGGTCAATTTTTTTTTATTGGAGTTAAAATTAACATAGATATATGACCGAACCTAACCAACCCTACCTAACCTAACCTAACCTATCTTTATAGGTTAGGCTAGGTAGCCGAAAACGTTAGGTTAGGTAGGTTAGGTTGTCGAAAAAACATTAATTCATGAAAACTAGGCTTATTAGGCAAATCAGACCTTGCATAGTAGGCTGAGAAGTGAGTTCTGGCTACTAGGTACGACATATATAT